CAACAAATAATTTTAATTGGTGTGATTTTTATCAGCTTATTCACTTTTCTCCATTGCTGTACACAGGTCGTTTTTAGCAAGTATGTGAGGGAAGAATACAATGCAATTGCGATGGATCTAAAAATTCGTTTTCTAACACAAGATTTTTTGAATACCTTCATGACAACGTAGCAAGGAGCATTGCTACTTTTGACAACCCAGAAGGTAAAACTAGTCGAGTTAAACACACCTCTGTAAAGTATTTACATTATGTGAATTGATTTGTGTTTTTGTTTGCCTTCATTTTATATTCAACATTTTGTCCAACCTGCTTATTTTTTGCCTTCCGGATGAAGAGGATCCAACCGAGAGGGATATCCAATGGACCCATCTAAAGGAAACACTCTTACCTATCTCTAGCAGCATAAAACACATCATTTTCAGTTTCCTCAAATGAGGCAAATGATATAGACCTTGTGAGAAGTTGTCGTAAACAAAGAAATTGTGTGTGTGTATACGTCCCCTCTAAGAAGACCGGAAGGATAGCAAGGCCCCCAGAAAAGACGTCCCCACTGTTTCAGCGGATGCACAGGGCTGTGTGCAAGCGTCAACATGTGTGAGGTGGAAGTCTTGGCACGTGCTACTGATGTCCCTGAGGTTCTGGTAGTGGGTTCCAGGTCATATGAACTCATGTTGTCCCAAACGGTCTTGAAGATAAAGGTCGCGACACTGGCCGTTCAGGACGTGTGTGGACGTTTCTATGACTGGAAATGAAAAGGCGAGATCTGAATTTGCAAAGAGTAATGTATAGAGCCGGTATAGTCCGCATCACTTTTTATTCCCGTCAGTGTGGAGAATTTCGGTGGCATTGTCGACAAAGTGCACGAATGTACAAGTTGCGCAACACTTTGTACCAATTAAAGTGTAAATCCAAACAAGTGTTAGGGGGCCTTAATTTGTGGTGGAGGATTTGGTTTGATATACTACTTAGTGAATTCTTTAGAAGACTTAAATTCCAGATGGAAGCGTATGGTGATCCTGTTCTGAGTGCAACGTCCCCCAACTAGTCGCAAAATCTTTTCCTCTCATCTCTATCCACATGTCCATCAGTCGTTTGGGTTATCATTTACAATTATGGACTTCATAACTTTCTCCCACTTGTCTTCGCCCATTTGTACATTAAACGATGTCCGCTGAAGTAAGCCTCAAGTGTTGCAGCTACAAGGCATGATAGCCGATTGTTGTGAGTTGTTTCAGGACCAGAAGCAATGCTAACACATTGGACCAGTGGAAACCATTTTTGAACAACGTCAGATTAAACATTCTCTTTAGAAAGTGAAATATTTCTGGCCTCTTTATGGCCACATGAGCATTACCTGCTGACAGTTAAGGTTCCCAAAGTAGGTGCGGATAAAATTACTTTACTGTATTGCAAAACCACCAAAAACGGTTTTATTAATTATTTGTTAAAGTGCTTTCTTTAGATTGCGCGTTTTTCAAGTAATGACGGTAAGTCGTAGCTGCCTTTGTGGATGGAAAGGTGTAAAATCTGGTGCTTTGCCTTGATTGGTCTTGGCAGCTGTCAAAGCCCTTTTTGAAAATGTGGAGAACACGCCACGGTTTGGCTGCAATTCAAATTTGCTTAAAGGGGGCAGTTAATAGACCTGACAAAGGTCTCATCAGCCGACAATCAGGCATATTATTTCCACCTTGAGGGAAAATTTGTACAAGAGCAATCTCTAGTCTACCGTCTACGCGAATGAAGTTCGAAGCAAACGTCTTCAAAGTGTTTTGTTTGTAAAGTACTAAGCACTTTATCAAAAAATGGCAGCACTACTTTTGCACTCCTGGCAGCCGACACATGGTACGAATTTAATTACTCTACCGCTCTTGTCTTGAAGCTCCACGCCCCATGGATAGTGCAATTCTACTTTTAAAGCTAAAAGCGCTTTTAGAACTTGCATATGTGGATTGATCGTGCTTATAACCCACAACTTTAGCTCATGAGCCTTGTTCGTGGATGACAACTCAGACGAGGTTGAACGGGAATGTCTGTGAAATGATAAACGATTAAATGTTTGACTTGTCAAAAGTTTGACAACTTCCATCCTGACTGGAGAAGTTAACTGTGGGAAAAGAGTGGCTTGTAACTGGTTGGCGAGAACCAGTGTAGTGGCTGAGTTTAAAGTAGATGGTGAAAGTGGACCAAATCGTGTACAGTAGATCAAACAAAATCGTAAATTAATTTTTGATAATAGTCTTCTCCGGAATTTGCCTTTCACAGTGTGGTATTAAAGAGTTGGTTAAAGTCTACTCCCAGATTGCATACACACACATACCCCGCTAACTCCTCTTATCAGTCATAGAGTTGGTGCTAATCAGACCCAAAAACTGATCCACAGAAAATGGCTTTAACCCCACACACCGCACTCCTTGTGATGCTGAGGGCATCCTAAACAAATCTAAGGGGAAAAAAATAAAGTGAACTTGAAATATAATATAAAACCTTATAAAACTAGTCGATATTAAGTTACGAGAATATGCACTAAAAATAATGGGTTGGTAAAATTGACAATATTAGAAGAAAGTTCCGCTTACATGTTAATTGATTCAACAGGTGCTGTTCTTTAAGTACTAGATCCACTAGTTCTACTTGCGATGGATCTGTGAATGCAGCTGACAAGAGCTTTTCACCTTCAAGAAAAGGAAAATAAGGTGATTATCATGGCTGTGGTTAAGCGCAAACGTAAGACTTTGGCAATAAGGTAGACAAAGCCTCTAGTGGGGTGATTGTGTGATTGACAGATTAGAATGGCAATGCATAATGCGGCACATAAACGAAAAATCTCCTTTACAATGGTATGTGTCTTCAAAAGTACTGAATTTATTTCCTCAAGAAAGCTGAATTTGCTTATAAATGGAATGGGTACTTCTTCTTTTGTCAGGGCTGCGTATTCACTTAAAGCATGATGTTGGTATTTAAAAGAACCATAAGGTAATTACCATGGGTTTAGTAAAGCCCGAACTTAAGGCTTTAGTGATTATTTGGATAAAGCCTCTGATGAACTAAATGCGCCAGAATGGCTTGAACAGGCATTGCCTAGTTTTTTAGAAAAATAGTCTTCTAGTATGGCATGTGTCTAAAAAAATAAGAAGCTGGTTTTGTCAAGAATACCAACCTTACCTGTAGGTGTATTCGATGCTTCCTCTTGCGGTGGAGCTGCGTCTGCAGTTAAAGGATGCTGACCACCTAAAACAAAAGGACAATGAGGTAGTCACTATAGCTGTAGAGAAGCCCGAACCTAAAGCTTCAGTGATAAGCAGACAGAGCACCTGGTGGAGTGAATGTGCAAATGGCAGACTTTAAAACCGATGTCTTATTTACTGCATATACAAAAAAATCTCTTCTTCTACTAGGGTTTGGACGTGAGTTTCAGCAAGAAGGCTAAATTTACTTATAAGTGGGTTTGAAGCTCCCACTTGTGGCGGAGCTGGGATTGTCGTTGAAGGACCTTCTAAATCTGAAGCAGAAAAAACTATGGCTTGGTGGCAAGGCGATTTCAAGACAACGCTAGTTAGGTGATGATGATCACTGCCAAATACGTCTATACACACATCCAAACCATTATGAGGAAGTAAATGTATTTGAAATTTACTTATAGATTGGTTTTCCCATAGAAGCTCCCTGCTACTGCATGGACTACTTCCTTGAGGTAAAATAAATAGGCAGTGGTGCAAAAAGTGGAATTTGCTTTAAAAGAATCTACTGACATAAAATATGGAAAGCTGAGCAACTAATTTAGGAATCCTATTTAAATCTGTCAGTAGAGGAAACCCAATATCAAGTTAACTGTGATTGGACCATGACTTCATTCTTTTTGCAACATTTAGTTGCCATGCATCAGTAATCACTTTGCATAGAACATTTACCTCAGTCACTTCAAACATCCACAGTTAATTTTATTTCGTCTGGTTGTGAAACAATTCATCTGTGATTTAATGACGCAGTGGAGAGGTAACCATGGGAGAACTTACCTTCATCGGTGTGAGGTGGCTTTGATTGTGGCAACCTTGTGCACTGCTCTTGTTCGTCTGTTTCATCTGAAGTAGGGAGGTAAAAAAGATCATGCTCATTGTGTTAAGCAAACGTGATTGTTTATTGAAAATAGAACTTTGTACAAATGAGAAAACTGACAACTGACAACAAAGTGAGGGGAAAGAAAATAAGAAGAGTAATTACTACTTTTAGAAGATCTAAATGGTAAAGGGCTTAATTCATAGCGTTCAGCTCCTTGAAATTAAAACAGAGGGAGAAAGAGAGAGCTGGATAAAACGGTTTAGTTTAGTATTCGACTAGAATACATTGATTTTGCGAATATAAGAGTCTACCTCTTGGTGGACTCCATCGCCATTCGTTCAGATCCATTTGATCCCGTAAGTTTCTAACGTGTCCTAACAATCCAATTTGCTGAAAAATTCAGGTATTTTAAAAGAAATTATAGCTTAATAATTGAATTTGTTTGGAGGGAAAATGGAAGAGCAGAACATCTAAACTACCCCTGATTACTAAGTACATCAATACATAAAGTCTATTTATAAAAATAATC